CTGATTAGCCAATGGGAAGGGTAGCGGTCGTACGCCAATTACCATGTTTCTCTTTTATTAGTGTAGATAGATAGATAGATAGATAGATGCTGTTATGAACATTTGTGTGTAGGCTTTTATTTGGATATATGTTTTCAGTTCTCTTGGCTGTATATATAGGAGCAGAATTGCTGGGCGATAGATATTATGGTAACCCTATGTTTAAGATTATGAAGAAGTACCATAATGTTTAATATTTTGAAGAGATGTTTTCATTTCCTCTTAGTGTCTTCCATCTGAAATTGAAGTGAAATACAAAATGGCTGAATGTTACACAATGCTAAAACAAGATAAAGATGCCATTGCTATACTTGATGGGATCCCTTCAAGACAAAGAACTCCCAAAGTAAGTTGAATTAACAATTTGTTACATCATTTTCAACTCCCCATTCCTTCCACCACTCTTCCTTCATGTTTTCACTATACATTAGAGCAGTGGTTCTCAACCTTGGCTGCACATTAGAATCACCTGGGAATCTTTTTAAAATCCTGATTTCTGGGCCTCATCCTCCGGAAATTCTGTTTCTTTGTTATGGGGTGGGGCCACAACATTAATAACAAAGAAACAGAATTTCCGGAGGATGAGGCCCAGAAATCAGGATTTTAAAAAGATTCCCAGGTGATTCTAATGTGCAGCCAAGGTTGAGAACCACTGCATTAGGGAGTCCATCTGAACATTTTACTCTTGCCTCTCTCTGGTTTTCACTTTGTTCCCTTGTTAAAGAGTTAAGAGTTCATAGAGGTAGAAGAGTGCCTTTCTTCTGAGACCCTGAAAATTCAGCTGATGAAAATGGTAGCTGGAGAATACAAGTGCTTATTCTTTGTTTTTCTTACTGTAGAAAAGAATGAATTGCAATACACTTCCAGGTGGCAACAATACTGTTTTAGAACCTTATTTTTTTGCAATGTGAATGATTTTATTAATCCCTTCATTTTCAAAATCAAGTCTACAAGACCCTTTTGTACTTATTTGTGTGTGGGGTATGTATTTGTATTTGATTTCACAACATATTGTAGTGAATAGAACATCTTCAACTGAAACCAGAAGATCTGGTGTCTTGTCTGAGTTTTGGGCATACAAGCTGTTTGTAGTGTGTACTTGGGCAAATTCCAATCTGAACCTTATTTTTTCCCCTTATTTATAAAATGAGGATAATAATACTTTTTCTGCTAACTTTTGGAAAAACTAAGTTTATGTATGTGAGAATACTCTTTAAAGTACTATTCTGTACGGAGTATTATATTGGACATCTTTGATTACGGGTTTTTGGGTGTATTTTTTTTTTAAGCCCAGTTTAGAAAAATAATACAAATTCTTGCTCTTAGATTGAATTCATGTCAGTATTTAATATTCTACCATATTCTTTCATGTCACCTGTCTCCTTCACTTCATTGAAAAACTTTTGTGTAACTTGTGCTTAATAGTGAAGGATTTTATCTGTAAGATGCCTGTGTTCATCCTACTGTCCTTAAAAGAAGAGGAATCTAATCAGTAAGGACCTACTGTATTTAGTTAGTGTTTTTTCACCTAAATGTTGCTAAGTTTTAAAAGTAACCAATCAAACTTGATGAGATACTTGTTTAAGTATCTCTTCATAATGAGAATGTATTTACGACTTTGAGTTTTTATAATTAAGCTATTTCCTCAGTATATTTTATGGTGGTGGCTGCTATTAAAAACATTTGGAAGCATGTTACAGACTACTCTGTCTTAAAATAAGCTTGAATGCTTATATATTAACTTGTGTTCTGGTACCCTATGAAAGACTTACCTGAAGAATAATTTTTTCATATATGAAGAATATCTTTTGAAAGATGCTGTTTTCATTATAAACTTTGAATTATACCTGTTCATTAGCTTACTGGAAATGCACCATTATTTCCTCCTTAATGACTTCAAGGAGTTTGGGGACAATGAGTAATGACAAAGAAGCTCAGTTTTGTGGTATCCAGTGCTTTGGTGTTTACTGCTATCATTTTAAGAGGGACTAGAGGAATCTGCATTTATTAGGAGTACATATTCTTCATTCTGTAGAGCTATTATAGCCAGGAGCAAACAAAGATGTGTTCCTCAAACATAAACCTATAATATTTACAGTTTTTCTTTCTTGTCCGTTAGGGAGTTAACTGGCTTCTCAGTCTGTGTACAGGACAAGGAAGTGAGTCAAAATACGTCTAAATGAACGTCTGTTAATGTATGGTAAACACCGCCACACATTCCTTCACATTTTAAAGGAAAATTCCAGTGTGAGATTATTATATCTTGGTAAATCTTTGACTTTTAAGAGTAAACATATAACATATAATTTCTCAGTTTTTAGAAAATGATTACTGCTGTGTTTATAACTGGTAGAATGTGGCTTTGTGATGTTACCAAGTAAGTATCTGCTTTAAAAATAATTGATTTTCTCACTAGGTAGTACTCAAAACTCATTCTTTTGAAGTGCCAGGTAGTTTAAAGGGAATTTTAATATTTGTTGGCCCATCAGTCATGATTTGTTAATAACAAGCAGTCAAGAAAGGTTTTTAAATTTAAACCTCTTTTTAAGTATAGACACTAATACTGGAGTTTTCCTTTAAGTACCTTCTTTTGCATTTCAATATAGCCTAAAATGGAAAAATCTGAGGCCAAATAAAAAATAGTTTTATTTCTAGTATTTTATTATTTCATTGTTTGAATCAGTATGGATTTATGCCATACTAGATTGTTTTATATACTGTAAGTACATAATTGGAACAGATGTTTTTCATCTTCAGACCCACTCTTTTGAGTAAATATCTGGAGTACGAAGCTACAGATTGAAGAGATTGGGATTGGCTTTTTTACTCTTGTGCCCTCATGTTGACTGCTTCCTTAGGTTAATGATCTGGCAAACTCTGTGTTGTGTTATGATCTATTAATTTTAAATTGGAATATAAAGTTTTGCGGAGTTACATATTTGAATTGTGTTATTTAAATAGTATAACTAATCTCTGGATCATTGTTTTTTTAAAGGTCAGTTAGAGTTTGATTTTTGTAGCATAACTTTGATGAGTCAGACAGTACCTATTGGTCAAAGCTTTAAGCATGAGAAAGGCTAGAGTCTAGCTGCTAGACTAATTGTCAGAGAGAAGCCAAGCATTGTGCTTTTGGGTCTGTCATTTCCTTTTTGGGGAAAATTCATCTTAAGTAGCTATGTTAAGAATTCCTCACTTTCTGTGGCTTGATGTTAATTGCATTTAAAAAATGTAAACTTGAGCACTTCTAGAATAGTTCATCTTCTGTCTTAAGACCAAGAAAGAATCAAGGTAATTAGAATTCTGTAACATTTCTCAAATGAGTGTTACTCCCATTTCCAGAGGCAGCATCTTTGGTCCAAATACTATTGGACCTTTTGGTTGGGTAAGTGAAAGGAATTTGATTTTCCTTTTAGAAATGGGAGGACATAGGAAAAGCAAAGGTGGTAATTTTCTGTTTGGTTTGATGAATGGAGTTGGTCTTTGTTTATTTCCATGGAGCTGTGGGTAGATTTTCTAGTAAAAAATAAAGTAGTAGCTAGTAATAAAAATCAGGACCTAAATTGATGGTGAAATATTTTCTTTGCAGTATACACTTAATCTTATTGTCTTCTGGTTTTATTTATTACAGATAAACATGATGCTGGCAAACTTGTATAAGAAGGCTGGTCAGGAGCGCCCTTCAGTCACCAGCTATAAGGAAGTGCTGAGGCAGTGCCCATTAGCCCTTGATGCCATTCTAGGTACGGATCATTCTCTGCCATGGAGTGTTTACTCTCTAATGTAGTAGTTCTCAATCTTGGCGGTATACTAGAATAGTTTTATTTTTCCAAAAGTTTCATCTGTAGATGGTGATTTAATAGATTACCGTTGGTCATGTATTTCACTGATCAAGAAATAATAAATTATGTTTGTTCTGTCATATGCATCTTGATTCGAATAGGACAGAGGTTGCCTTTAGCCCATGGAAAGGGTAACCTGTTGGTTATTACATTGTAGAAGAGAGACGCTATGCCTCACTTTCTTTTTCCTGCTTTCTGTTGGGTTAGGTTTGCTGTCCCTATCTGTAAAAGGTGCAGAGGTGGCATCAATGACAATGAATGTCATCCAGACCGTGCCTAACTTGGACTGGCTCTCTGTGTGGATCAAAGCATATGCTTTTGTGCATACTGGTGACAACTCAAGAGCAATCAATACCATCTGGTGAGAGCCACAAAATTACTAAGTGTTCTTGAAGCCCTTTCCTTGTAAGGAGGTCTGATATATCTAAATTAGCAAAACAGAAAAATTAGATGCTTATCTCTTGGTGTTGCAGCCAGTTGTCCCTGGGCTTTGTTAGTCTCTTAATGTACCATATGGTCCCAAATGTAATAATCTCTGCTGAGCACCTGTTAATTGTAAACTTGGACCGAGTTTAGCTCTGTACTTGCAAAAGTAGTAACCCTTGCAAAGCAAACTGCCTTTGTGTATCATGCTTGATTGAACCTGGAAGACATCTTTTTGCATGCCCAGAAGCATAGTTATTGCAGCATCTGATCTGGGTTGCGTCCCTAGGACTGGGATTTTCTTTCTAGTCAGGTAAAGTCCAAGGACAAGAGACTGGGATTTGTGTTATGCTGTCATTTGGTTGAGTATCAAGTAGCTGTCATTTGTGAATAATATTACATTTTACACCATATAGCATATTTTGTCCACTGAAAAACTGCAATCAGATAGTTATCTATAGGTAACAAGAGATTTCTGCATTATTCTGTATATTTGCTATCTTATCCTGTATAACTTTTTTTTTGAAATGTGTCATTGCATTTAATTTTTTTTTAAATTTGCCAATGCTATGTTGTTTTTTTGTTATGTATATTTTATTGATTTTTTACAGAAAGGAAGAGAGAGGGATAGAGAGCTAGAAACTTCGATGAGAGAGAAACATCGATCAGCTGCCTCCTGCACACCCCCTACTGGGGATGTGCCCACAACCAAGGTACATGCCCTTGACTGGAATCGAACCTGGGACCCTTCAGTCCGCAGGCTGACGCTCTATCCACTGAGCCAAACCTGTCAGGGCTGCATTTAATTTTTATGTCTAGATAATACAATTTCATTATTTTTAAATTGTATATTTTAACTTTTAGGTATAACTTTTTTTTTAAATCATAAGCTTAGAATAAGGAAATCTAGTGTACAGTTTGTTTTTAAAGTTTATTATGAAAAATTTCATACATAAAAGAAAATAGTACCTATATGCCCGTCACCCAGACTTAACAACCAAGAGGATTTATAGCAGGTTTTAAGGTTCACTGTTTAATATCTTAAAGTTCACTAGAGAAAAAGTCATTATTACGAGATAACGTGGATCTACTGGGAAGCTTAGCAGATCTGTACTTCAGAGCTGGAGACAATAAAAACTCTGTCCTCAAATTTGAACAAGCACAGATGTTGGATCCTTATCTAATAAAAGGTAAGTCATTCTTGGGGCAGGGCAGAAGTGACAATAGAGGGGCAGATCAGGAAAGATTGAAAATGTAGCATGATCTTCTGATTCCAATGATCATGGACATAGTTTGTAAAATTTGTAACAGTTGCTATTTACCATTCTTTTCGGTCCTGACGTGTCTCCAACACTTGGGTAATTCCATGTGAGCAGTTGTTTTTGCTTCATTCAAGTGTCATCTCACCACAGATCATTATTTAGGTTTTTTTTTCGTTTGCAAGGAGTTATAGCCTCTCCTTACGATCATAGGCTCTCCTTAAGATTTATAGATTTATGATGTGCCTGACTGAGAGTTTGGATGGCATCCCCAGAACTGTAATCTCTTTTTAGGAGATTTACTTTACTCTTTAGTATAGTTAAAAGGGAATAAGTGAACAGATGTTAAGAAAAGGATGAGGTAAATGAAGGAAGTAATTAGGAGTGAACAACAACAAAAATTACTGATCTGAAAGGAGATGCAGTTGAAGGAGTAAGCCACAGGCACTTCTAAAGGATGACTGTGGGGTGACTGTCAGTAAGTGAAGGGTGCGTGCTCAGGAATAGCAGTATAAAGTCAAATAGAAGGGCTGAGGTCTGCTTGTAAAGACCCCCAAAAGGCCATCAGAATGACCTTGTTACAATAAACAGTCTTGTAGACACGTAAGCCACAAGAATGACAGAGCAGTGAGAGGAAAGATGAATTTGTTTGTTAAAGGTCTCCCTCTTGCCCAGTGCTTATTTCTCTTCTCCAAGCTACCCATGACCATAATGAAAATGGTGTTTTAGAAATACTAATCGGGTAGTAGTCAGCAGCCTGGAGTTGGAAGCTCAGACCAGAGTCGGGGCCAGCAGGGAATGTTGCAGTAATCTTGGCTTGAGACACATTTTCCTGGGAATCTGAAGGGATAGTAAAGAATGGAGGGGAATAGTGTTAAGAGACGAGTGACAAGAATGGAGAGCCCTTTTTATAGAACATGAGGGAATGAAGAGTGTGTGTGTGTGTGTGTGTGTGTGTGTGTGTGTGTGTGTGTGTGTAGGGATGATTTTACATGAACTAGACTCCAGAAAGAACTGCTTTTTCTGGAATAGGCTAACATTTTTTCAAGACCAACTGGCATATTAAGTGTGTAACCCTGACTGTGCCTAGACCTCATGGAAGAGAGAACTTACTTGATACCTTTTTTGGGCCTTTCTGGTTGAGTTAGGATGGCTGTAGTTCACACCACAGGATATAGGGATAAACAGTTCCTGAAAATAACAGACTTTTAAATTGGGAGGTAGGTCCTACTCCTTTCCTTTTTCTTTAGTTTGTATGTGTTTTTTCTTTTTTAAAATATATTTTTATTGATTTCAGAAAGGAAAAGAGAGGGGTAGAGAGATAGAAAGATCAGGGATGAGAGAGAATCATTGATCGGTTGCCTCCTCCACACCCGACATGGGGGATCGAGCCCACAATCCGGGAATGTGCCCTGACCGGAAATTGAACTGTGGCCTTCTGATTCATAGGTCGACACTCAACCACTGAGCTATCCCAGCTGGGCTGTTGTTTTTAGTTTTTATAAATCATTTTGTTGGGAACTGGGAATGCTGATGGAAGGAGCTCATGATGGTGGAAAGGGCTCAAATCCTAAGGAGCTGGGGCCTCGGTGTGGGCTCTGAGGATGGTGCTACCTTTTATAAGGGAGTTTAAAGAGCCTCTTCCTTTCTAGGAATGGATGTATATGGCTACCTCCTGGCACGAGAAGGGCGGCTGGAGGATGTGGAGAATCTTGGCTGCCGCCTTTTCAATATTTCTGATCAGCATGCAGAACCCTGGGTGGTCTCTGGGTATGTTTATGCGCCCCCCCTTCCCCCACACCCCTAGTTTCCAGAAGATTCTTTGGGAACGTGTAGTTCTTGAATAGGCTATAGCTTGAAAACACAGGTTTAAGAGATGATAAGACTTGGATTCGAATGAGTTTTGACTTTAGACACGTGATTTACCTCTTAAATCTCTGTTCTTTGGAAAACAAGGACAATACCGCTGTTTCGTGGGGTAGGTATGAACTGAGATAGTGAATGCATCATGCTCAGCACAGGAGCTGCTGTTTTGTTACTGACCTGGCTTTATAAATTCTCTGTCTCTGATCTGCTAACATATCCAGATCATCAGGTTCTCCTTCCATATCAAGATTTCTCCCTTAAAAATAAATGTTTAGTAGATATTTTTGTTTTGTTCTTTCACTGATAGATTAAGTGTGGTTTGTAATAAGAATCATGTAGAGGGCCTTCTATGAAGTTTCTTTACATAGGCATACCTTGGAGATACTGCGGGTTCCACGCCAACTAACTCAATAAAGCGAGTTTTATAGTATTTTTGTTTGTGGAAGATCTTACCTTCATTTTGCAAAAAACACAACACTTATGAAGAACAACAAAGAGCAATAAAGTGTGGTATGCCTGTATTGTTCTCTCGGGTAACTTTTGTTTGTTTGTTTTTTCTCCAGGTGTCATAGCTTCTATAGCAAACGCTACTCTCGGGCCCTCTATTTAGGAGCAAAGGCCATTCAGCTGAACAGTAATAGTGTTCAAGCTTTGCTACTTAAGGGAGCAGCACTCAGGAACATGGGCAGAGTCCAAGAAGCAATAATCCACTTTCGGGAGGCTATACGGCTTGCACCTTGTCGCTTAGACTGTTATGAAGGTAAGATAAAAATTATAGATGACAGTGTGAATCTGTAGGTGTGGCAACAGCACTCATTTGGAAGGCTTTGTTAGGTTGGCAGTTCCCAAACTTGGTTGTACTTTGGAATCCACTGGGGGAACTTTTAAAAGTCCTGATGCCAGGTTACTCTAATACAGCGGTTCTCAACCTGTGGGTCACGACCCCTTTGGCGGTCGAACGACCCTTTCACAGGGGTCGCCTAAGACCATCCTGCATATCAGATATTTACATTACGATTCATAACAGTAGCAACATTACAGTTATGAAGTAGCAATGAAAATAATTTTATGGTTGGGTCACAACATGAGGAACTGTATTTAAAGGGCCAGAAGGTTGAGAACCACTGCTCTAATACCATGTAAATTAGAATATTTGGTAGTGGGAGATATAGGTATCAGTGTTTTTTTTTGAAGATCCCAGGTATTGCTAATGTGCAGACAAGTTTGGGAATCACTGCATTAGGCACTTTAAATTTAGGGCTTTTGCTGGACTTTTCACTTCATACTTTCAGAATCCATTTCTCTTTGTTTTGTTTTTGGTGATGGAGTAAGTAGTTGAGGTTAATTTTTTGGTCCATTTTTGGGTTCTCAAACGTGGACAACTCATTAGTGTAAATCTCTCTGTGCCAACAGTGTGCTGAATCACTTGGTTATTATAGGTCTTTAGTCTTTTTCACAGTTGCCTTACTTTGGGCCAGAAATATTACCCATAGCAGTGGTCGGCAAACTCATTAGTCAACAGAGCCAAATATCAACAGTACAACGATTGAAATTTCTTTTGAGAGCCAGATTTTTTAAACTTAAACTATATAGGTAGATACATTGTTATTAACTTAATTAGGGTACTCCTAAGGCTTAGGAAGAGCCACACTCAAGGGACCAAAGAGCTGCATGTGGTTCGTGAGCCGCAGTTTGCCGACCACTGACCCATAGGGTAATCCATATTCATATGATGGTGGTGTTGTGGGAATTGGTAGGTTCATTGTGACTCCAGAGTGGGCTTGATCAGGGTCAAACTTGTTTTGTTATGTACTATTTTAAGTTCATGTGAACTGACCCTAGGAGTTCAAAGGAGTTGTGCCAGCTTCTGCAATATTTGGTGACTCAGTCACAGACTTTGAAATAGCTCTTACAAAATGCAGTTCCTCCAAAGCATATTTTTATATAAAAGAATTTAAAAATAAACCCAATAGTATAGGAGTCATTTGCTGTTAACAGGAAGAGTTCAAATTTGAAAAATAAAATTTGAAAGTGGGGGTAAAAAAACAAATTTTCCTGTGTGGATTACTACCTCAATAAAATTAACGAATAAAATGTAAAATAAATAAATAAATTTAAAAAAACAAAAAAAACAAATCTGCTTAGTCAGTCAGAGCTATACCTATGGTGGATTTGTTCTTAAAGAAACCCCAGCAGACCAAGCTTTTGGTTTCAAATTAAATTCTTAATCTTGAGCTATAACGTCCCTACCTCTCAGCAGCTTTTATCATGCTAATTCCTTTGTGCTGCGTGCCTGACTCACCTGAACCCAGGAATGCAGTTGAAGAGCTTGGACACAGGCTGGGAAGGGTTGTTGGGGGCAGAGGTTGTTCCCCAGCTGGCTGGCCAGTGAGGCTTCAAGGGCTGCCTTCACTCAAGTTACCATTTGGAGATTGGATCAGGGTGACTGGTCATACCCTCTGGTGCTTGCAGCCTCCAGTCTCGCTTCTTTTACTGGTAGGGGCATTCTTTCCATTTCCTTCTGACATTCCAATGGGGCTTTTGCAGGGAAGTATAACTTCTCAAGTAGTTGCAGACTACTGTATTCTGACTCTAACACGTTGCCCTTAAGAGTTAGGTAATTTCTGGTTAAGTACCATAGTGTGTGGGAGAATGTGCTAGGGTGGAGGAGTATGCAGAGAGAATTAGCCAGGGATTGTGTGGGTTCGGGGTTTAAGCTGTTTTGAGAGTGCTTTGTGCCAAAAAATACTTCCTCTGTTTTCCTCAACTTCTTGAAGAGTTGACTGTATTTGAAGTGTCCCCATAGGACATCTATCTTGCTGTGGGTATGAAAAGAGGCAGAAGCTGCTAATCTTGGTATATTCGGTCCATCTGATGAAGCTCTTTCCATCTAGTTTAGGGAAGTCCTCAGCAAATGCTTTGGGGGACTGTGTTTCAAAGAACTGGACATTCACTTTTTTATAGGAGCCTAAAACTAGGACATTAAAGGTGACTGAACACAGTGGAAATTAACAGCTTGTTAAGAGGCAGGGAAACCTGGTTTTGTTAGAAACATCTGTGACTGTTTCAGCTAATGATTAGTGTCATATTTGTTCCTCTAACGTTCAGCTGGGTTGCATACATGCTTCAGTTTACTTAGCCATGTTCGTTACCTTCCTAACTGAAGGTGCCTTCGAAGTGCAGGCTTTTTCTATATTTGTGAAGTGCTCTGGGGACGAGCACTCTTTTTTTTTTTTTTAAATATATTTTATTAATTTTTTACAGAGAGGAAGGGAGAGAGATAGAGAGCTAGAAATATCGATGAGAGAGAAACATCGATCAGCTGCCTCCTGCACACCTCCTACTGGGGATGTGCCTGCAACCAAGGTACATGCCCTTGACCAGAATCGAACCTAGGACCTTTCAGTCCGCAGGCCGACGCTCTATCCACTGAGCCAAACCGGTTATGGCAGGGACTAGCACTCTTTACTCCATCAACATAACGTCCAGTCTAATCTCACCATCAAAGTTTTCTCCTGGCCCTAACCGGTTTGGCTAAGTGGATAGAGCATCGGCCTGTGGACTGAAGGGTCCCAGATTCCATTCCAGTCAAGGGCATGTACCTTGGTTTCGGGCATATCCCCAGTAGGGGGTGTGCAGGAGGCAGCTGATCGATGTTTCTAACTCTCTATCCCTCTCTCTTCCTCTCTGTAAAAAACCAATAAAATATATATATAAAAAAAAAGTGTTCTCCTGGCCTGCCCCTGGTCTGAAACTTTGAAGGTTTATCATTTGGAAGGCTGTCAGAGTGGAAGCATGGCTTACAATGGTAATGTGGTTGAGCTTTTTATGTTTTATTTTTTTCAGGTCTCATCGAATGTTACTTAGCCTCAAACAGTATTCGTGAAGCAATGGTAATGGCTAACAATGTTTACAAAACTCTAGGAGCAAATGCACAGACTCTTACCCTTTTAGCCACTGTTTGTCTCGAAGACCCAGTGACACAGGAAAAAGCCAAAACTTTATTAGATAAAGCCCTGAACCAAAGGCCGGATTACATTAAAGCTGTGGTGAAAAAAGCAGAACTGCTTAGTAAGTGTATTTTCTTTACTTCCCTGTTCATCATTCGTTGTATAAAATCTTATCTCAGTTGGTTTCCCCAGTTCAGCTGGTTACAGGTGATCAGATAAGTGTGTTCCTTTTGTAGTAGATCTGAGCCCAGATGAATTGGTTTAGCACAACCAAATGTAGCTGGCTTGGATCTGCTTGAATCGGCAGTGACTGACTCTTATAGAGCTATATTTGGTTGTTACTTGTTCAGCTCACTTTGATCCAGTTTTAGTTGTCCTGAACCAGTTTAGGCTGAATATAACTGGTTTGCACCGACTCAAGCTGTTTTGACTCATCTGGATTCTCTTAACGATTTCCCTTTTAGCCTTGTTTATTTTTTATTTTATTTATTTTTTAATCCTCACTCAAGGACTTGTTTTTATTGATTTGAGAGAGATAGAGAGATACTGAGAGATCATTTGCCTCCTGAATGGGCCTACTAGGAATTGAACCTGAAACCTGGTATGTGCCCTGACTGGGAATCAAGCTGCTACCTTTTTTTTTTTTAAAAAAAAATATATTTTTATTGATTTTGAGAGGAAGGGAAAGAGAGAGAGAGAGAGAGAGAGAGAGAGAGATAGTTACATCAATGATGAGAGAGAATCATTGATCGGCTGCCTTCTACACACCCCACACTGGGGATCGAGCTCACAACCTGGGCATATGCCACCGGGAATTGAACGGTGATCTCTTGGCTCAGCCACAGCCACACTGCCTGGGCAAACCACCACCTTTTGGTGCAGGGGATGGCACTCCAGCCAACTGAGCCACACCTGTCAGGGCTAGCCTTTTTTCTTTTTTTAGTTCCGATTTATGATGAACTCCTGGATTTGGGCTAGTTTGGCAAATAAAATACATGCTCGCTTTTTATTTGAACCTAGGTTAATAGTACCTTTAAAAAAAATCGGAACCCAAACTGCAGATTTCCTAATGGAATAGGAATTCAGATGAGCTTGTTCTTATTTCCTGCCACACCACTTTTTTCTTGAGGACATCTACAAATAGATTGTTGGATGGTCATCGGTGTTGTGGTTTTTGTGTATAAGACTTAAGATGGGGCCCTAGCCGGTTTGGCTCAGTGGATAGAGCGTCAGCCCTCTGACTGAAGGGTTCCAGTTTCGATTCTGGTCAAGGGCATGTACCTTGGTTGCAGGTTCCCCGGCCCTGGTTGGGGGTGCGTGTAGGAGGCAACCAATCAATGTCTCTCTCTCTCTCTCTCTCTCCCTTCCACTCTTCTTAAAAATCAATGGATAAATACCTTCGGGTGAGGATTAACAAAAAACAACAACAACAACTTGAGATGGGAATGTATTTTCAAAATGTTGGGTAAGTAGGAAAATGAGGGTCTTTTTTTTTTTCCAGGCAGAGAGCAGAAATACGAAGATGGGATTGCTTTGCTGAGGAACGCACTAGCTAATCAGAGTGACTGTGTCCTGCATCGGATCCTAGGAGATTTCCTTGTAGCTGTCAATGAGTATCAGGAAGCAATGGACCAGTATAGTATAGCACTAAGGTAGGCACTTAGCCTCCTGGGGGGGAGTTTGATGAGGGGTAGAGAAGGCAGGGAACTATGTCACAGAAATTCTGGAAACACACACACATTGTGCCCACGGTTGCAAACAGAGTAATAATAGAGGAGGAATTTGTGAATTCATGACTTCAAAAAAATTTTTTTAAGTATATTAACATTAAAGAATGGTTTCACTCATAATCAGCTCACACCACTATAATTTCTGTTTTCATTTGTGTAAATCATCTTCCTGGCCTTGACCACACATATACATATTTTTATAGGGTTATATGTAGTATATATTTTATATTCTGCTTTTTCAAATCAAAGTATTATGAGTACTTTCCCATGTTTTTACCTACTGTAGTAGTTAAGAACTTAAGCTCTGAAGTTTGGTTACTTAACTTTCACCACCTGTTATCTTGGGCAAGTTACTAACAAATTTCCTTGTCTATATCTATCTACCGTACTAGGTATTAAATGATTAAATGAGGATTAAATGATTATTCCATGTAAAGCTCTTAGCACTGTGCCTGGTACATAGTAAATACTAAATAAATAGAGGTATTCTTACTGCTTAGTACAGAAGTGATTTCTTTGAGGGTTGTCTGTGTGTCTTTAAGGTCATGGTGAGGCCTGTCTTTAATTGAGTCTGATCACATTCATTTACTTATTCAGCAGTTGAGCACCACTCCTGTGCCTGGCATCTCAGTAACCACTGGGGATGCTGCAGTTCCAGTTGCTCTCAGTCTCAGACGTGCAGACTGATGGATACCACGTGCTAAGTGCTTTCATAGCTGTCTCTAGACGGCAAGGTGGGAGTACAGAGGGTGGGGGAGCCCTGGATGTGGGTGAGAGCTGTATGGAAGGTTTTAGAGAAGAGGAGATGATACAAATCAATCTACAGGTATATTAGTAGGAACAGGATTCCCACATGGGTTTTGTCTGCTTTTTGGAAGCCCAGAAGCAAGTGAGAAAATAAAATGCCAGACTTTTATTAGAGGTGGGATTTGTTAGAGGGTGGACACCTGCTGGCTTGGGTGATGGTCACAAAGAAAAGAGGAAAGATTGCTTAGGAGCCAAGTAAATAAATGTTCTTGAGCTTCTGAACTTTGGGGGCTTTTGCACGTGTAATGGTTCATAGCTATTAAACTTGAATGCTCAGATAGGGGTTGCTTTGGGTCCTGGGGTCTAACCTAGGAGTTGACAAATCTGTTCCATGGTAAGCATGATTTTGGTTAACTCCTGCAGTGCTGATACATTTAATTATAAGAACATGGAACAATTTTATTCACAGGGAAATAAGTATTTTTTGTAACCTTGTAGCTTAAAAACCCAATACTGTTAAATTACATTTGAATTTTTCTATTAATGGGTGTTTACTACTTTTTCATTTGTGTTATCTGATAGCTTCCTCTAGCATAGTGCTAGGGGTAATGTGTGAAAAGGTTTAAGAAATAAATGAAGAAAAACTCAAATTGAGGGTTCTAAAAATTAGGACAAGATGCCTTTTTTCACTTCTAGTGGTGAACTCCCTTGATCCTGCCTGTGGAACTGGAGTTGTTTGGAGAGGCCAGGCATTAGCAGTTTCTCTGTGACTGGGTGGTCATTTCACTGGTGAGCCAGGGAAATGACACATCAGCCAGCAAGAAGCAAGGCAGAGATTCAGGCCTCTCCTTTGTTTTGTTGTCCCCTAGTTTGGACCCCAATGACCAGAAGTCTCTAGAGGGGATGCAGAAGATGGAGAAGGAGGAGAGTCCCACGGATGCCACTCAGGAGGAGGATGTGGACGACATGGAAGGGAGTGGGGAAGAAGGGGACCTGGAGGGCAGCGACAGTGAGGCGGCCCAGTGGGCTGACCAGGAGCAGTGGTTCGGCATGCAGTGAGGCAGGCAGCAGCTCCGTGGCCACACTGGCCTGCCCTGCTCTGAGCACTTCCATGGACTGAAAGAACCGTAGGAGCCCGCTCTCTGGGAGGACAATGATTCAGCATGTGATTGCAGCAGGGGTTTCTGCCCCCTGGCTCCATATTTCTAGTAGTGACTTCATTTTTTAAAACTGAGCCTGACCAACCTTCCATATAAATCCATCCTTCCCTGCTCCAGCCAGGGAGGACTGAGTGAGCCTTCTGGGAGGCCCACAGATATGCTGAGACTTCTGGGACAGTACTTTTTATATAACTAACTTCTCAATCTGAAGGCTCGAGGACTAGACAGTGTTTTGTGTATGATGATGTGGTTGGGTTTGAAAGGAGTGACCTGTCACCCAGAGCAAGAGTGTCAACTCCTGAGTATGACAGCTACACGGGTTGGCCCTTTCAGAGAGGGTTCCTGTCCCAGAAATCATCATCCTAGTAACCTTGCTTCCTTCTGCAATGTTAGTAATGCCTTAAGCTGACAGTTGCTATTTTGCAGAACAATTTTCCTACTTGCTAATCTGGTAACATGCCTATGAACCTGGGCCAGATCTGAGAAAGGTGTGTGACCTAGAGCATGAACACCTGGGGTAATTAACTAATAAAACTTTTCTATACAGTAATGGTGTTGGGTTGATCAGAATGGAAGCCCATTATAGATTCTTCTGTTTTTCTCCCTCCTTCCCTCTCTCCCTCCCTCCCTCCCTCCCTCCCACAATGCATTGTTTCAGTCCTAAAATTATTTACCATAAATAGACTCCCTTTCTTCCCAGAGTGTTGGAGCCAGTAGGATTGGGAACCTCAGGTTAACACTGAGCTGGTTCACCCATTTGCATTTTCTTATTGGTGAATTTCCCTGGGGGAGAGTCTTTGGCCAGATTTTAGACTGTTTCTGTCTGGCTGTCAGGAGCTCTGAGGTTGGTGTCTGGTTTCAGCATTTGCTGTGGGGTGAGCAGAGGGGTCATTCCCTCATACTCCTTATTTAAGAGGTGATGCTTTTGACAGTATAGGTAACCACGAAGTGGGGTTGGGGGTGGCACAGCTAACCTCAAATTCTCATTAAAACAAACTTAGTCAAAGGTGGTGTAAAATATGAATTTGATGTAAAAGGAAAGTTCTGTTCTAAAGTGTATAGTAGTTTAGGAGCTCAGAACATCTGATAACTGTAATTTTAAGTGGACAAAAAGTTACTGTTAAAGTATCTTTCAGTATGAGAACCAGTGCCTGGGCAGCATCATTTGATGGAGCAGTTTCTAAAGAGCCCAGCAGGCAGTGGGGCCATTGCAGGTGATCGTGTGGCCTGGAGAAGACGCTGCTCATTGGCCTTAGTGCTCACTCCGGGATGCAGCTTCATGTCCTTCCTCAGCTTGCCTCTGAGCAGCCATTATCATCAGTGCTTTGGGAGAAAAGGTGGAACCTCTTTGCCATTCCCCTGACTGGGGGAGAGAACCCAGCCCCACTCTCTCGATCCTATTTTTGCTTGTCAGTCTCATCACCATGACCCCTGAGATTCCCTCGGGTTCAGGATGTGCCTTAGTGCCCAGGCCCTGTGCATACCTTCCATCAGTACCCTTGAGTTTCTCCCTTTTCCTGGGCTGGCCCTCTCTGCTCTGCTGGGAGGTCCTAGATCAGTCTGTCTATTCTAAGCCCCTCCATCCCAGCATCATCCGGGCTTAGATCCTTAAGGCCCCTCCCACCTGCAGCTCCAGTGTTTCTACCCTGACAGGTTCCAGGTGGAAGAGGCAAATGAAGCTACATCTTTAGAGCACCTGACATAGAATTGGGAATACTCTTAGTCCTCATCAAAGAATGGGAAGAGTTTGACCTGGAGAGTGCTGAAGATCTCAACTGGTACTACTACCACTACCACTTATTCTCACAAACAGAAAAACTTTATGTAGGCAGGGAGTTGGGACAGAATCAGGCTGCCCAGCTCTGGCTGTTCCACTGAACCACCTGCTAGGAGACCAAGCAACCTGATAAGGAGTGGCCTCCCAGGTGCCTTCTGGTGCCTTAGAGTTTCACACAGCCAATATGGGGATGTTTTAACTGTTTCCTATCATTCTCCTCCCTTCCCCCCTATTGTTTGTAGCACAGGTGTGGAATCAGGCTGACTGGGTTCTAAAAGTCCCAGCTCTCCCACTGTCATCGTTGTGGGTCAGGCTGGCTAGTTAGCTTCCATGGCCTGGGTTTCCACATCTGCGTGGGGTCTGAGGACTGAATAAAGTATGGAGTTCAGCATGATGCCTGTTGTGAATGTCATCACCACCATCAGGGTAAATACCAGATTGCTGATTCTTCCCTGGGGGAATTGGAGACGGGGCTGAAGCCTTGTCCTTTTCTCTCTGCGGTCCTTCAGCTGCGCAGGGAGGCAGGGTCCTAAAGAAGGGTGCTCCCTGCCCTCCAGCTTGGTCTTTCATACTCTAATTCTGAACCTGTTCAGTGTGCCAAAGACCTAGCAGACATGGTCCCTACAGGGCTGATGTCGGGAGCTTTCCTTGCCAGCCTTAGGTTGGGGGCCACAGCCCTGCCTTTGAATTCTTCCTCAGAGGATGAGGCTAACTATTTTCCAAATCTACTTTCTAAACTTGATCATGCTTTTCAGTGATGCAGATTTCCAGGCCCAGTACCAAATCTTAATCCAAATCCAGGGCCTGGGCTCAGGAGTCTGCATCTTTTATCACTCCTACCCTGACTTCCTTTTCTAATACAGGTATTTCCTGGTCCAAATATTAAGAAACCTAAGAGAGTGGGTTGGAGGGTCCCAGAAGCTGCAAGCCTGACTTCAAAGGGCTCCTGGAGGCCTCACTGCAGCTCCCTGTGGGTGGGAACAACTCCCATGACCAGTCTCGGGCCCATGCCCAGGCCAGCTTGGCCAGCTCCAAAGCTGCAGAATTCTCTGCTAACAGGACCTGCTGCCCAGGACCGAATTCTCTGCTAACAGGCAGTGAAGCCTGACTCAACAAATCTTCACCTTGGCCTTTGGGGGCAGTGGTCACATCAGGCCCGCCAGGAATACCTGGCATTGGGAGGGCCTGTAGAGGTAAGTGCCCTAGTAAGGTTTTCCACTTTCTTCAGGAGCCTCCCT